CATGAACACTTCTACGGCATAAAGGATTGTAAGCCTGCTTTACGAACTACTTAATTTAATCTTTAACCTAAGTAAATTGGACAGTGTAAAACTAATTAAATAATAGTAAAAATGGGTAGCTGCTTGTTTTTACATTTTTGTTGCGTGCCTTATATCGTACTCGGGAGTCTATTTTCATATATGCTTTGTTTAGCGGACATCCGTTGGTCATTCGTGCACGTAACAAAATTGGGGGCCTGTCAAATATGACACCGAAATTCCTAGCTAAAGATTAGGGGAGTATTTGTTCATCACCAACTGACACATATAAAATGGCAGGCTTTGGGCGGAATTTTGAACTAATTGCAATCAGTTCAGTTTTCTCCTGATTGAGCTTTAGCATGTTGTTTGTCATCCACCAGTCAATGTCTTTGACTCATAGCTCAACAGATGACTTAGATAACACAGATCCTTGAGGCACCCAATGTGCTAAACAACGTTGTGATGACTGACATTCTTCAATTTGCACAAACTGTTTGCGAGATTTGAGATACGAGTCAAACCAAGCAAGGGCATTACCCTTTAAACCAAAACGATGGGAGAGTCTAGATAAGAGTATTAAATGGTCAACCGTATCAAATGTTGAGGACAAGTCGAGTAAAAGGAGTATAACCGACTTGTTTTCATCAACAGCACGCAGTATGTCTTTTTGTACTTTTAGTGAGGCCCTCTCAGTCGAGTGCAAGACCTTGAAGGCAGACTGATACATCACATCTGGATGGTATGACTTTACATGGTCAGTAAATTGTTCAGCAACGGCTTTCTAAATGATCTTTGAGATTAGCGTCAGATTGGAAATAGGACGAAAATTTGAAACCTGTTTGAAGTCAGCATCAGGTTTCTTCAGGGACGGATATAAAGCAGCGACTTTCAATGCACTAGGCATTCTGTCAGTTGAGAGAGACAAATTGACAAACTTAGTTGTTGTAGGTAGCAACACCGAGAAACAGTCCTTTAAAACCATTGCAGGTAAAGGATCCGAGACACATGACTTAGAAGAGGGCCGCTTACACGCAAACACCTTTACTTCCTCTTGGCTAACCTCTCTAAAGTTACTGAACTCCACAGGACATGTTAATGGTATTGGCCGTAAGGGCCTTACGATGATATTTCTCTGAACAAGTTTGGAGTGAGTTTTATCAATATTGTTAATAAAGAAATCAGCAAATGAATTTGCCAGAGCAGAATTATCAACAGAGGGTGGATAACGCTTTCAAGATGGTTTTTGAAGTAATATATTAACAGTCGCGAATAATATCCTTTGATCTGAGGGATGTTCATTGATGTTTGAAGTTTAGCGCGCTGATTTCATAGCAGCAATTAGGTTGTTAACCACACAGCATTGACAAACATCCCGGTCCCATTGTAGCCGCGAAGTACGCCACCTCCGTTCCAGTCTTCTCCTTTTTCTTTTCTCAGCAACGACATCCGATGTATACCACGGTGCAGATGGCCTTACAGTTACCTGACGTTTCTTTTTTGGAGCATATTGGTCCAATAACTGTCACAGAACCCTATCATACTGATCTACCATCGTATCTAAGTCAGTAGCTTAATCTTGTAACAAAGGAGAATCCATAATGCCCTTAGTAAAGGAGTCCATATTTAAGGAGTGTAATTTCCGGACGTTAATCAATTTTTTACTAAATTGATGTTTCTGAATAGATAACACACAATGAATTGCAAGATGATCCGAAATAACAGGATCCTTAACTTTGGTATCCTTGATAAGTGAGTCATCTGATCTTGTAATGACTAAATCTAGGGTATGGCCACTAGTATGAGTTCCACAACTGACATGTTGTTTCAGATCATATGACTCAAGAAGGTCTGTATAGTAACCCCCCTTCCTCTCTGGAATTTAGTAATGAATCAGTGGCTTTGATATTTTATCCTCATTGTTGAATTCTTACCCCTCCCCCAGCCTTCTAATTTTTTCGGCAAAGTAGGGAAAAAGGAAAAAACCCTGCCACTACGTTGACGGTGAAATGATTACACTGTATATATTTTTAACTGTTACAAATTTTTCAAAATACTTACCTCGAGCACTGAAATTTGTGATGAGTGAAGTACATGTGGTTGAAAGCTATTTTCTCTTATGTAGGACCTGATCTAGAGTAAGATCTATTACAGCCTATAAGCACTTACACCTAATAAGTAAATTATGGAATAAAACTTTTGGGCACTCTTCATGGCGCGTCGCACAGAACTTTGCAACTTTCACAAATATTCGCCATTTTGATCGAAATCAAAGATAACGCCATCCGACCAAAAGGTAAATTTGGCATCTGAGAACTTGTTAAAAATCATAAAATAAAACTGATGAGCGGATTTTTATTTTGAAAAATACATATCATGCGACTTTTTCGCTGTTAAGTTGAAAACATTGGTGTTCTAAAGAGGAAAGACCTGTGTTTATAGTTACTAAATTATGCAAATTAGCGTTATTCAAAATTGTGTCCATAAAAATTTTTTTCTACGATGTTCTTAAACACAAAGAGCTGTCTCTTTTAACTGAAAAGCATATTATTCCACACTTCTGAGGCAAGGTATATTTTGAGTTAATGGCCATTTTCATCTCCCACGAAGCGCTGATTAAGTAAAACAGCTGTGTTTGTTTGCACGCTTATCGCCAACTAATTCAGTTATCATCAACCACAGAGAAGTGAACATCGAAGATCTTAGCAGTAATATTTCCTTAACCTCTCTTCAGTAGCAAGAGATGTTTTTTTGTTCCGCAAGACGCAAAAGAGCTCGTTTTCCTAACAGCCTCTTTTATGCTATGCAGGATTATTTTTCCCTTCTTCGAAACTTTGTTTACTTCGCTGTAATTCAATTAAAATCCGTTGGGATCTACACCAGTTGTCACGTGACACTTACTGACTTAACTGCGCAAGCATTCATGCTGTAGTGTTTGTTTATCGGAAAGATGTCTGTTGAACCCTTAAATTGTCCTCTTTACGAAATAGTACAGACTCCGTGTGGGTCTAGTAGGGAAGAAGCGAAGCACGTTTTCCTCTCCGACTGCAACGCAGATATATCCGCCTATTTAGTTAGCTGCCACTTATCCAAATGCAGCGCTATTACGGAAGTCGAGCTCATCATGGCAAGAACGGGAATACAACATTTGTCGAGAAGTCAACTCGCGGGTATGACAATCTGCCCGAAGCACTGACACTCAATAGGAAGATTCTGGAGGGGTCCAAGATCCACACCGGGAAAACTACAGGTGTGTCGGGCAGCCACGTTGTAAACTTCCAAATGGCTGACCAAGTTAAACGTATATTTGGCGTAATCGCTGCTGTTGGATCACGTAAGTACCATAAGCCTTAACTTGTGGTTTGCTAGTTCTATTTTCCAGCACTGCACTCCTACAAGTCTACCCTTAATATACACTACTCCTAAAAGTTTATGTTATCGTTGCTCACATTTCAACTTTCCCGTAGCTCATACTAAACTGTCAGGTAAATTTCTTCCTTGTTCTAAATACTTTTGGTTTTCTCTGTTTTCTTTTTGTTTTTTGTTTTTGTTTTTTTGTTGTTTTCTTTTTGTTTTTGTTTTCTTTTTGTTTTTTGCTCTTTGTTTTTGTTTTTCTTTTGTTTTTGTTTTTTTTTTTTTAACTGGCCTGCGTAGCTGGCAACTTAGTGTGCAGCAATATTCTGGAGCGGTGGATCGGGTGTGTAAATTTCTTCCCATTCCCCTCGCGTGGACGCACCTTACCGCCCAAGAATACTCTTCCTTTAAACACATACACAAGGACGTCAGCTGGTCAGGCCTGTAATATTATACATTACGATCGCGAGTTATTAATCGTTTGCACTAATCTATAGCTGTCTGCACCACTTGCCGGAAGAAGCATGCTGAACGATTGTTGAGTTTAAGATGGCGGGGTTCTGCCGAAGGTTCACAAGACCAAGAGGGAGCAGTTTCTGAAAGGTTTGTTGGATCTATTTATTGTCCCTTAGATTCCGTACTTTTCTCACTGTGTATTTAGCTTGCGCATGCC